GAGTGTGCAAGGGTAGTCAATAGAACTTTGTCCTCATCGCGGTGATCATTGCCGACTTGATCTTCACAGTCATTATAACGCTCACGAAGACCCCCATCACCAACGATTTCATCATGAAGGTTCGACAGATGCATTTCAACAAAGAGTGTCACATCACCGACAACACCACCATCGCCATCATCATGATCATCCTTGCAAAGATTGCTGTCATCGCCGACATTGAGCTGAGGCACTTCAGTCACAAGGGCTCTGCCATAATCGTGTCGAGCACTAGTATTTGCTAACTCCTGCTTGAGGTCATCAGCCTGACCAAGACCATCCCCTTTACTCTCATCTCCATGGCCATCATCCTCATCATTTTTGTTGATGTCATCGACATTGCTCTCAGCCAGTTCCAGAGTGACGGATTCGCCCTTGTCAGGACCACAGCTGGGAACTGCATTTCTGTAATCACCAGCATGACCATCACCATCATCATCACCATCCCTCACCTCAAGGTAAGACTGTGGGACGACTTCAGGAATCGTTGATGCCCTGTTATCAGCTTTGAGAGGAAGGTGTACATCAACGTCAGCGTCACCACTGTTCTGTTCCACGTCCATGTTCTGAGTGAAGACAGGTTCGTCATAGTCGTCACCAAAATCGTAACAAGCATTGTTACCGCCATCATCACCACTGTCGCCATCAGTACAGCCACCACCTCTGGCCCAACCACCACAAAAATGATCGTATATTTTCTCAGGTATACAGGCCTTGGCAAAGTATTCTGCTGCATGGGATTCTTGTTCATCCTTGCAGTTGCAGTACTCAGCGAACATAGGAGCAAGATCCTTTCCCGGATTCAGGGACGTCTTCAGAGACATGATGGTCCCAGGGTCTGAGAGGAAGGMGTSAAACAATTGTGGCGCCTTTTTAAAGAAGGGMAGAAAACTGTTGTCCACACATGCCACTTGAAGAGGGAGGATGTGATAATCCTCAAACAAGCTTCCTTTGAAGGCTGTGTGGAAGTCCAGGAACACCATCTCCTCCTCTAAGTCCTCTTCCTCGTTGCCACCTGCTAGATGACGGCGCACACACTCAGCCATCAGCTCCAAGCTCAGCCGCACGCCAGATTTCATTTCCACTTCTGTCTCCACCGCCTTGTCAGATTTTGTTTCCGCGTCTGTGTCGATCACCACCGCCTCCTTCTCCTCCTTCTCCTCCTCCTCCTTCACCTCTTTCACCTCCTTTTCTTCCGCCTCTACCATGTTTGACAAGATCGCCAGACGCCGCAGACGGTCCCCGCGGTGCCTTAACTGAAATGCACAAAATTTAATTGTCAATGAATGTGATTAGAAACATCATGAAATGGTTTGCTTGAGCTGAAGTCAGATGGGATCATGTAAAACGACTAGTATCAAAAACCACAAAAAATGGAAAAACGATGATAACCTCATAGCATATTATGCCAATTTTCCCGAAGCACTGCAGGAACTAGAGACTCTCTGCAATTTTGCAGGCAATATTTCTTGAATCATGGCTCCTTAAAGTTCAATTTGTAGGGTTTGTAGGGGGAGTGGCACCTGTTCACAACTGGGGCCAACATCTCAAAGACACCCATCATAAACACAATAAAAAAGAACAACAGCAACCTAAAAAAAAAAAAAGCAGGAAAAAAAGAGTGCGAGGCTTCAGCCTCTATGAGCCCCTTTCCGGCTCTGCATGGGTAATGCGTCGACCGCCCTAAGTGAAGGCAGGCACGACAAGGGCCTGAGGGCCCCTATTTTGGTCACCACACAACTCCAGGAAATTCAGGCAGTTGCGCAGCGCCAGTTGGTTAGAAGAACCCACGCGAGCGCCAGCCTGTGTGCATAAATCGAAGGCAGGCCCTGGGCTCGATACGGAACATGGGCCTAACACAGGCCATGACAGTTGGGCGCAAGCAAACGCTACAGGCTCAGGGCCTGCATTGCATGGACTGGGCCTCAGCCTACCGGGGCCTACCGGATGCTTCTTGGGAAAGGCCCAGCGCAGCCTGGGACAGCAAGCAGGCAGGCCACTTCCATATAGCAGAGGGCCTGCCTCGTGTTTTGGCATTCGGGTGCTGGCTGCATGCTGCGCAAGCGCTACTGCGCTATTTTGCTGGCCAGCGCTCACGTGCTCACGGGCGAGCTGGAAGGAGCAGGCAACCATAGCCACGCTGCACTGCTGTAGGCTAGGTGGGGCGCAGGGTGGTCCTTGGGTGCAAGTGGCATCTGTGTGTTGAGGAACGGTTTTGAGAGTGAAGCGAGAGACATACCTGGTGCTGGAAGCGAGCGGCATTGGCCACTATATGCTCGTACTTCGGAGAAGCTGTTGTCGTCAACTTCGGCATTGTAGTAGTAGGCTAGATAGGATCTGCCAGTCTGTAGTCTGGGCGCCGAGCGCCAGATAGGTGTTCGACATTGGTTCATTGTTGGTGATGATGAGACTATTCGCACATTGTCAATTGTGAGCTTCTGCTATGCTCTTATTTGGTGTAACTCGTGATGCAATTCTGCTTATGGTTCGAGGTCATGGCTATTTGGTCTCTCATGTATGATGCTGTTTGAGTTCTGGAATTCGCTATTGCTCATCTTCCTTGCAATTTGGTATCGGAGCTGTGGTACGTTGCGCTCATCTGGCGCTTGTCTTCTGCCTCATGCGGTACATACATCATACATGCGGTCTGCTTCGTGAGTAAGGCTGCAGGGAGTGTGCAGTGAGGAGGGCGGAGGCAAGAGGTGGCGACCCAGGAGGTGAGGGGTTCGCCAGGAAGGCTTGGTGTGTATATTGGGTGTTCGCAGTGTGATGAGAACTATTCGATGTGTGATTGATGCTGAGGCGGAAACGGTGGAATATTTCTGGTTGTGCCAAAGCAGCGATTGGTCATCACAATCAACATCGGGTCATCTGGTGAGAATATATGTGGTTGGGGGCAGCAATATTGAGGTACGTTGCACACTAACCTTATCTACCCTCTTCGACACTTCTTACCGTGAGGATGTGTGTTCTGTCTTGAGAGTCCTCTCATTGTGAGGTGTCGTGTGCGCTCAACCTTGAGAGAAGTCAGCCTTCACGTGGAGCATCAGGAAGAAGGGCGGAGCTATCTGGAGGGCCCTGGACGAAGCACTTGGGTCATTGTCACCATGCCAACCCACAGGGAGTAGAGCACGCATGCTTTGCAGCTTTGTCCTTATCTGCTTGCTGCGCTCATAGATAGGTATTGTTGGGCAGGCCAACCTTATGGGAAAGACGAGCACCCGACGTCCATAAATAAACACGGGAAAGGGATATCACTGGCTGTGATCGTCGTCCTGCTGCGACGTAAAATAATTCCTGATGTCACTTGGGGGCGGACGTTAAAATGCCTCTTGATCAGCCAGTGATGTAAGGCTCGCGGCACGCCAAGGATAATAAATATACGTGCAGGGCTGGCCAGCTCAACAACTACTCGGGGCACAGATGTGGGCCGAATTCACACTTTTAGACACGCACGCTATCTCATTGCTCAGGGACGCAGACGCTTTGTGACACTCAAGAAGAATTGAGGGAGGGGTAGATTCCAGGTGATAAGATCCTGGACAATTCCATTCTGCAAACAGACCCAGTTCAATGATTCTTTTCCATTTTGATTAGTTAGATGGACTGCCATTAACATCTGATAGACAACATAGTTTAGAACGATCTACTGTTCATTGTGCTTCGTTTGCAAACTAGTCAAATTAGGAGTAGTATCATTGTAGGCATCTGAACTTACCTGCTGGGCCCAAATGTTTCTTTACCGAAATAGCCACCAATTAGTTAATATATTATTATAAATTGGTATGTGCACTATGCTGCGGTAGACATCTAGAGTGTTCTAGTGTAGGCAGTGCACAGTGTTGTAGCATATGAGCGACCAGGAGGATACACAACCGGACGACCGGATCTTGCGATCGGCTAGGCGCCCGATAGCCCACGTGGCTTTAGGCCAGGAGGGTGACAGGCTTCTGTTCCGCCAGCTTAGGGAAAGACAGCAGCAGCAAAGGAGGGCTAGAGACGCTGAGGCCAGCAGGGCACTCGCTAGAGACTCCGCTGCCTCAACAGCAATGGCAACCACTGCAATGCAGGGTTCCCAAGCTAGTAGTTCAGGGATCGTCGGGTCAGCGGTCGCGCAGACCGTAAGTCCGTCTACTGGCATTATGGCAAGCCAGGCAGCAGTGTTGACCCCAGAGGATGTCGCCATCCGACAGGCAGCACTGCAGAAGGCACAACTACAACGGGCTGCTGAGGCACAGCTACAACGGGCATTAGGAGAGATCAAAGCGGAGAAGGAGAAAATAATTAGAAGAAGAATCAGGATGCAGCGGAGAGGAGCATATCTAGAGGAGTTAGAGACGATGGATCTGTCGAACATGGATGATGATGTGAAGGTAGTTAGGAAGGCCCTCCTAAGAGTAATAGAGATGCAGGAGCACCAGACTACCATCCTTTAGGATATCCAGCAGAGCCTGGCCATTCTGGCAGGGCGTGCTCAGGCGGCACCATCACCATCCGGGCCTGGTGCCTAGCTCGTGGCATATCCTCCTTTTTCTGTTCCACCGGTGACAGGGGTATCCCCATATGTTGCCCCGTCATTGGTCGCAATCGTCTCCCTGGGCATGCCGCTATCAGGAGGGATCTCAGCACGCCTTTGTTTACAGATGTCTGTTCAAACAGTGTTTACCCAGTCTCCGTCGCAGCCTGTTGTCAATATACAGTCTGCTGTCCCGTAGCCGGTCCAACCGAAGGGTACACAGCCCCAACAGTTGGTGTAGCAGCCTGCTCCCCAAGGTCCACAGCCTGGAGTGGGACAGGTGCAGGGACAAACCTAGTGGGTTCCAAACACGGCCATCACCGCTCCGAAACCCTTCACAGGGAATAAGAGAGGCGAAGACCTCGACACTTGGTTGAGGGTTGTGCCAGTCTATGCAAGTGTAAACTTACCTTGCTGCACGAGGAAGTGTTTGTGGATGCATCCTACCTAGAGGGTAGTGCAGCAAGATGGTTGAGTGGTTTAGTGCAGCTACAGGGATACAGTCATGACTTCCTCCCTTAGGCAGCCCACCAGAAATTGGAGGACTTTTTTAAGATGGTGGAGGACAGGTGGCACGATCCTCAGGAGGCTCAAAAGGCCACTGATGCGATCGTGACATTGCACACGAGGCAGTTCAAGTCAGTTAGGGATGCCACTGACGCTGTTGAGCGTCTGATCTGTGTCCCTGGGGCTCGCTATGACCCCCAGGTTCTACTCACCTCCTACCTGAGATGTTTTCCAATGCCTCTTAGGAATCAGTTGGCAGGTGAGGCCAACATCAATATGCACAACTTCCCCTCGTTCAACAAGAAGGCCCTAGACCTAGTAGCTAAGATAGGGCATGGACATAACCCCACGACGGATGGAAGGAAGAAGACACTGCCTCCCAACTGGAAGGCTAAGGGTAGGATCATGTTCGTCGACAACGATGGTTCAACCATCGAGTTAGATGATGATCCCCAGTTGGGAGCTGGTGCAGAGGCTGGCAGCGCAGGCGCTTCAGAGGGTGGAGTAGTCGCTGTCGCTACGCAACAAAAAGGTAAGGGGACCGGTAAACACCGCGGAGGCTCCCAGTCTAGGAGTCAAGTTGACCCCAATGGTCCTCCATGGGAGAAGGCAGGTCTAGCAGAGGACGTGTGGAGAGACCGGTATTCCAGGCAGGCCTGTGTTTGTTGTGGCCAATATGTCCATAGCCAATTCAAGTGCCGCAACAAGAAGGTTACCGAGAAGATCCCGCCTATTATGGGGCAGGCGGTAGGATCCTCCGCTCCCGTTGGTAGCAATGTTGCTAGAGGTTCTAGCACTGCTCCGGGAAACATGTCGGGCCAGAAGGAATAGTAGTTGTTCCTGCTAGGGTCGAGGCGGTGGACACACCCTTACCATCTCGAGAGATGGCCCAAGCTACTGACTCCGTTATCATCCCGCAAACACGTTCAGACCCATCGAGCCTCTGTTCGATGAATGTGTTTGAGTCCTTAGAGGACCTAAAGGAGGAGTGGTCTAGATCAGACCCGCTAGCTTCTTGGAAGGCATTGGCCAAAGCCTCTAAGGGTGAGATGTTCGTCAGCGAGATAGTTGTTGGCGGCCGCAAAGCTGGAGCCTATTACGACACTTGCTCGACGAGGATTTCATTAGTCGCGCGTGTGTTGAGAGAATGCGCTTTCAGGGGCAAGTGCAGCGCCTGAGTCGACCTGTGGAGTCGACCTGTGCCAACAAACAACGCATGGTAGTTAA